CACTATGTCAATTGGCCATTGTAATTTGCGACATCTCTTGCTCGCTCTTGAGCTCCACACCGTGACCAGTCTCCTCATCTTTTTCTGAAACTCCTCTATGCCATTGCTGAGCCACAATCAACTTTGTTTGGAAATATCTATTTCCAGCAATTTCGAATCGTTTGAGATCGATCTGGGTGATATAGAACAACTGATCCATGTTTCTCGAATTTCCCTTTTGCGTTTTTTATCGTTTATCTTTAATTTGTTTTTAATGTGGCCCCTAAACTATTGAATTTGGAGATAACCTTTTGAATTAAACTTAAAATGTCAAATGTGCATTCTAATCAATATGCGATGCAAATATGTATGCATATGCAATATGCACAACTAAATACATCCTAAGATATTAAAATGAGCTAAAAAAAATACTAAAATGCATTCATGTTTTTTTTACTTGCCTAGCCTGTTTTCATCGTGACTAGTATGGTTTTCATTAAAATGAATTAATATTCATATAGATGCAGAGTTACCGGTTTCGTTTGTAGAGTCTTCATAGGATCTGTTTTCAGTTGATGAAAAAAATGCATTAAAATCATGAGATCAACAAATTTACATGATTTACCTTATAATATTAACTAGGTGATTATAATTATCTGCGCGCATGCACAGAGTGAAATTTATATATTAATAATCGTTGAATACTAACTTTGATCGTTCAACCCTCATATTATAAGTTCCAAAACATACAATCATTGGCTGTCAATATAAGGTTGATGAGTAGGGTTATGTTGGTTGATATTTTTTTTTTTAACCTATTCAATTTACATTGGGCTTCAATGAGAATTCACCATCACACATTTTGATATTTAAGATTTATATTTTTGAAATGATATGATCAAATAATATTTGAGAGCTTGTATTTTTGAAATGATATGATCAAATAATATTTGAGAGCGCATATGAACATTAATTATGTATACATGTTATTACTTCTTTTTTTGTTTATGCAATAAGAAATATATTAAATAATTAAGAACCGAGTAGCTATTACGTATATAATTAAATTGGAGTAAACACATAAATAAAAATAATCCCTCTTTGTATTTACAATAGTTTTTGTTAGTAAAAAATAAAAATAAAATTTATTTATTTTATATGGTATATAATTAAAATTAAATGATATTGACATAAATATATAGTATATTTTTAATATGAATATTTATTGACTGGGATTTCATACTCATGTGATTTTCTTAACAATTTTATATTTACGGTAACAACATTTTTTTTTTATTAATACGAATATTTATTACTTGATCATTCCTACTCAATGCAAATTTGGAAATTAACGGGCTTATCTATTTAATATGTGATATATATTTTAATTTAATGATATTGATATATATATATATATATATATATATATATATGTTTATTTACTCTAAATATATATTAAATGAGATTTCATATTTATATGATATTATGATCATTTGTATCTTGTTACAACAAAAAAGTTATATCATTTATCAAAAAAATTTCATGGTGGCTTTTTAACAGTCTTTGTAATTTATAATCGTATAAAAATTCAAAATATAGCCCATAAGAAAAAACCTAATTTTTTATTATATGATTAATGTGACTGTTTATTTATTTTTTTTACGAATATAAAATTAAACATAAATTATGGATGATAGAAAAATTGTTATCAAATCTTTATTATTCAAAATTATTAATTGTCATATATTTGTTAACCATATTAGGTATTTCCGTAGATTTTAGTTATGGAAAGAATTAACAATTCTTTTTATACATTACTAATTAATTTGATAGTTATTTTAATAAAAATATAATATACATTCAAATGGACCAACCTAATTTTCTAAGGATTCCAAGAATTAACGTAGTGAATACATGTGGCTACCAAAACATGTTGTAATGTTTGAAGATTAATATATAAGGGATGTTTGTTTACTTGCTTAGCCATATTTATTTGAAAAATATACACCAAACATAATTTTACCAAATTTATGATTTTGAGAATATGTTAAATATAGTATGGACAAGTAAATAAGTAGTACAACTGATGAAACTATTTTTTGTGTATATGGTACAACTAAATTTTCCAATTTCACAACCAAAGTACAACTATAGACAATCTGGTATAACTCAAAACCTGGTACAACTATGTGTACCATTCATACTAAAGTTCCCATAGTTGAACCAATGTTACTAGCTATACCAACTATTGGAAATTATATACAAACCGGTATTACTAGTACAACTATTACATTTTTGTCATTTCAATATTTGACAAAACCAAATGAGTATTTCATATGAAACAACAATCAAATATCTAAATTTTTAAATGGTCAAAAATTTGTCTCCTAAGTTTTTGAAGATTTTCTAAAATTAATTTTTATTACACCCATCACATAAGCTTACATGATCTACATTATATTTATAAGGTTTGCTTACTTAGCCACAAACATATATCGAGAGTAGTTTTATAAAACTGATGAATCAAAAAGATGTAAAATATAGTATAACCATATAAGTATATGGTACAACTGATGCAATTATATTTTGTGTATGATACAACTAAATTTTTCAATTTCACATTCAAAGGACAATTACGTTCATTCTGGTACAACTCAAAAACTGCTACAACTATATATTATTTAAATAACTTACTTGTGCCAGCTATACATATCATTCTTATTTACCTCTTTGTTGTACTAGTGGTACCAGTAATTCCGGTCATTCTTAATCCATTTTTCTTCTAAGTATGGGCCATATAGGCGTTCATTCTCTTGACGGAGGTATATTTAGATTAATAACCCATTGAAAACTTGATACCATAAGATTCTCAACGTGTATTTTGTACTGATAGAAACACAAGCATCATCATGACAATAAGCAAAGCCTACCCATTGGGATACTGGTACAACTAGTTCAATTTTTTCACTGTAGAAATTTAAAATTCAATTTGTTTTTCCATATGAAAAATACAATCAACTGGTCAGATTGGTAGGTTGTTTGAATGATACTAACTATTTTAGTTTTTGATAATTATTACGCCATCACATAAGTTTAAATGTTTTACTCAACACTTTAGAGATTAGATTATTTTTTCGTCGACTATTTTTCAAAAACCATACACTGAATGTATCATAACGATTAATGGTTCCATAATATGTGATACCTGGTAGGTAAACATATAGAACTGGTACAAATCATGTATATTTATTTCTTATGCTGTATAACTAAATTTTTTAATTTTAATGCCAAAATGAAATTATGTACAAACTTGTACAAAACCCAAAAACTAGTATAACTATACTTAAAACTGGTATAACTATTTTTTATTACATTTGAATTTTTTATGACGTTTTAATTTTGTTTCACGTTTTAAACAAGATAGTTGTATCATTCATTATGATACAAATAGTATATTTTTCCATTGTATACCAGACTTGTATCATTAGCTTAATTGGTATAACTTTGTCGTTGAAAATTTTGACAATAACCAAATGGGTAATCCGTACTCTTTTGAATCATTTTCTACCAAAACATTTTCTGCTTCACAGCTGTCTCTTCTTCAGTTTCAAGAGCAAAAACATAAAACTGCATTTCAAAATAATACAACTATTAAAACAAATCCTTCCATATCCAAGTCTAGACGGATTCACCATTTGGTCTGGTACACGCCAACCTTAAAAGTTTAGATTTGTCGGCCACCGTTGTTTATAAGAGTAGGAAACTCCACTTCCCATATTAATTGTAACACTAGAATAACTAATATAACTAATAAAATTATGCAATTGGTTTTACTGTACAGTTAATACACCGGATAAAACTGTTCAACTAGTATAACTAATACAACTAATAAAATTAATATTAAATATTAAAAAGGTGAAATAGATTTGGGTTGGGTTTTTGGTATACGAGTTTGGAATATTAAATATTAAAAAGATGAAATAGATCTGGGCTGGGCTTTTGGTATACGAGTTTGGATCCAGATTTAAATGGTTGAGTTAGCAAATAATCTAAATATTTTTAGATTTATGGAATTTTCTTCCATTTTTATTTAAATTTAATTCAAATAAAAATAAACAAAATTCCATGAGGCCATTAGAAAATTTCATCCTCTAGGGGACCATTTTAGATTTGACCCATAAAATGAAATTTTGTTTTTATAAAATGATGTAAACTTATAAATTACATAATAACAAATTTCTAAATTTTACTTTTAGTATAGATTTATAATTATTTTAGAATAAATAATTTAAAATAAGTTTTTGTCCAAAGATTTATTTTGAAAAAGATAAGATAAAATCTTCTCTTATTTTCTTCGAATAAAAACTCCAAAATCTCAGGTCCGACTATGAGTGGCCAAAGCTACTCTGAAAAAGATAGATTTGAGGTTTTGTAAGAGATAGGGAAAGTGAATTTATGGACTTGGTGATTTAAAGATTTTGTTATTTTATTAGTATAATATTTATTATAATAATTAGTATCTATTGTAAATTAAATCAAAGGCTATATTAATTCAAAATAAAATTGTATTAGGATGTTTTTTTTGGTCAATTTTGTTTTTTGGTCCATAGATTTTAAAATGTTTTACCATTTTTGGTCAAAAAGTGACCCTTGTCCTTTTACTCTTTTTTAATATAAAAACATCCTAATTTATGGTAAAAGAAGAATTAATTGAAGCAATGCTAATTTTTAATTTTGATATATTGTTAACCAAAATTAGTTTTAGAAACTATTTACATCCCTCCATTTATCGGGGAACATATATATATATACGTCCTTTAATTGTAGCCAATAAATTGGCAACTAAATGGTTCTAAAACAAAGGTGAAACTGAACTTACTAAAAATAGGAAAAACATTATAAACTGTTCGCTCTGTTGCTTATAATATCATTCTCCCTTCTTCTTTTTTGATACCCATCATTTTTTTATTTCTAGAAAAAAAAAAGATTTTTTCCTGAATCTAACTCTTAAAATTTCGAAGATGCCAGAGACGGATTTGTCGTTTGGAAGGTCATTACTAAGTTTGCGTCGGGACCAAGTGCACTTAATGGACCAAACTGAGCCTACGAGCATGGAGGTGGAGTTAGATTCCTTTCAGAGACAAGTTGCTGAGAAATTTATTGACCTCAACGCCTCTGCGAATGACGATGAGCTCCTCTCACTTGAATGGATAGGAAAACTTCTTGATTCATTTCTTTGTTGCCAAGAAGAATTTCGAGTAATAATATTCAACCACAAGTCTCAGCTTCTCAAACAGCCAATGGATCGTTTGATAGAAGATTACTTTGAGAGGAGCATCAAAGCTCTTGATGTATGCAATGCAATTCGTGATGGGATCGAGCTGATCGGGCAATGGCAAAAACTAATTGAAATCGTAATATGCGCTTTGAAAGCGAGCCATGGACAGCTCGGTGAAGGAGAAATCCACCGTGCTAAGAAAGCTTTGATTGATTTAGCAATTGGGATGCTAGATGAGAAAGATTCCTCTAACTCATTGGCCCAGCGTAACCGTTCTTTCACACGTAACAAGGACAATAATCAACACACTGCCTATTTAAGGTCGCTGTCTTGGAGCGTGTCTCGGTCTTGGTCAGCCGCAAAGCAGTTACAAGGGATAGGAAATAACTTGGCCACACCTCGATCTAGCGATGTCATGGCTACTAATGGTCTAGCCCTAACGGTCTACACAATGACATCGATATTGCTGTTTGTTATGTGGGTTCTTGTAGCCGCTATACCTTGCCAAGACCGTGGTTTACAAGTGCATTTTTACTTCCCAAGGCATTTCCAATGGGCAGTACCAGTAATGTCCTTGCACGATAAGATCATGGATGAATCAAAGAAAAGAGATAAAAAGAAAGCATGTGGATTGCTTAAAGAGATTAATCTAATGGAAAAAAACTCGAGAATGTTAAGTGAAATGATTGATTCAGATAACTTCTCATTAACCGATGAGAATGGGTTAGAAATGAAGGAGAGAGTGGAAGAGTTGATGCAAATACGTGAATCTGTGAAAGAGGGCTTGGATCCTTTCGAAAGGAAAGTTAGAGACGTTTTCCACAGGATTGTTCGTAGCCGCACTGAGGCACTTGATTCCCTCCGAAAGGTTCATGATCAAGAATAGGAAAACTTGAAATATTTTTCCTATGGTCGTTTCAGATTCAGTTGTGAGGAAAATACAGCATACAGAGAAAATTAATAACTTGGTTTGTTTTTTGTTTGCGTGTTATCCTTGTAAAGAGCGGTGCTAATCGTCTTTACATTGTTTTTATTTTATCAGATGTCCCAGAAAATACAATAATATCATCTTTTTATCGTTGTACTTATTACTTATGATGTCCACCTCGGTGAACTTATAAAATCTCAAAGATCGAAAACAACTTGATATAAAAAAACAACTCTTTTTTATTATTACTGTGTGTTATCCTTGTAAAGAGCGGTGCTAATCTTCTTTACATCGTTTTTATTTTATCAGATGTCCCAGAAGAGACAATAATATCATCTTTTTATCGCTGTACTTATTACTTATGATGTCCACCTCGGTGGACTTATAAAATCTCAAAGATTGAAAACAACTTGATATAAGAACTAACTCTTTTTTTAATTATTGCATTAGAAAACTCACTCAAAACCTAAAACTCACACAAAATTTTCAATCTCTAAAACTCACACCTTGTGTCAGACATTGACACCTTTTTATATAAAGATTATAAGTTCCTAATCCTATTAGGTAATACATATAAATAACTCCTAAATATATTATGATTTCTAAATTCCCTCATTCGGTAGGATGAAATTTTTATCTTGATTCTCAAATTATTATTTTTTCTTTAAACTTAATCCAACATTCTTCCTCTTAAACTCAAAATCTTCTTTCGAAAAATATTGCATTCTGATGAACTTCTTCATTTCACCAAACTTAATTCTTTCCAAAGACTTGATCAATATATCAGCCATTTGCTTTTCACTTGGTGCATGCTTGACGTTCACTTGTCCATTCTCAACATATTTTTTTATGAAGTGATATCTTGAGTCAATATGTTTACTTAACATTGGGTTCCTTGTGAGCGCAATTGTTGACTGAAAGTCGAACCTGATGACCACTTTCTCGACTGGTTGCTTAAATACCTAACTCAGCAACTCTTGTAACCAAATGACTTATTTTGCAGCTTCAGTTCATGCCATAAACTCTGCCTCATATGCAGATCCTCCATTTTCCATTCTTCTTTTTCACCATCACCACGTTTGCCAACTACTCAAGATACTGGACCTCTTTGATGAATACAACTTTCAGGAGATTTTTAACTTCCTCATTGATGATCCCGTCTCTTTCCAGGGAGAACTTCCTTCTCTTCTATCGGATGGGCTGATGCGTCAGCTCGACCTAGAGCTTGTGTAAAATGATTGCAGGGTCAATCCCTAGCATGTCCTTGTGGGACCAAGGGAAATAGTCCGAGTGAGATCGGAGAAAATCTATCAGTCTGCGTCTTACCCCTTCAACAAGCTTGGATCCTATTTTCAGATTTCGAGTTGGGTCCTCCTGAACCAAGGGTACTTTGTCCATGTCTTCTGCCTCTGGTTCTTCCGAATGCGGAACTGGAGGTTTGTTTTGTGGTTGCGGCAAGACATGGGTCTTACTTTGAGGGCGATTTGATAGCAAGCTCTGGAGTTTTTCGGGTCCCCTTCGATGGTCTTTATGCCCCAAGGGGTGGGGAATTTCACCACCTGATGAAGTGTCGAGGGGATGGCCCCCATGCCATGGATACATGGCCGCCCAAGTATTATGTTGTAGGATGAATTGCAGTCATCCACCAAGAACTTGGTAGACATGTTGATTCCTTCAATGTAGACCGGGAAGCGTACTTCTCCTGAAGTTTGTTTGATTTTCGCGCTGAATCCTATGAGCTGAGTGATTCCGCACATGAGAGCGCCTTCCTCCAGACCAAGGTTCTTATAGGCAGCCTGGAAGATGATGTTTCTGGAGCTTCCGTTATCCACCAATATCCTTTTTACAAAGAAGTTTGCTACAGTGAGCGAGATGACCAACGCGTCGTGGTGGGGAGCTAGGACCTTCTCCTTCTCTTGAGCACTGAAAGTGTATCTCATCTGTACATAAGAGTAGGTGCTTGGCTGCCCCGGTCTCTAGGCCGTTCTTGGCGTTCCACGTGCTTTTCTTGGCAGTTGTATGGCTGATACCACTTACTTCGGAGCCACCAGATATGAAATGGATGACCCTATTTTGTCGAGGAGGTGAAGCAGGAGCAGATTCAGTGGGCTGCTTTCTGGTATATTTGTTGCAGAGGCTCTTGGCTTTATCTAAGAGGAACGCTCGGAGGTGCCATTTTTTCAGTAGCTCGTTGACCTCGATCATTAACGAGATGCAGTCTTCCGTTTTGTGACTGTGGTCATTATGGAAGTCGCACCACCTGCTGGGGTTTCGGAAAGGATTAGGGGCCTTCATATTTTGAGGCCACTTGACATGTGGGCCCATCTACCTAAAAACGTTGATGAGCTCTACTTTCGATATTTTCAAATGGGAGATGTCTGGCCACGTGGACACGTTCATCCCCTCGGCTTTTTCCAGAGGCCGGTGTTGATACCTGCCCCGGCTTTTGCTTCCGGTCTCTTTCCTATGGTAGGAACCCCCATCTTGATTTCCCTTTTGCTGCCTTGGGGCCTTCTGATCCTGCTTCGGCTGGGCCTTGGCTCGACTGGTGACGTCCTATTCGCATTTGACCTGCGCCCAGTTCCGAGGTACTGGATCCAGGGATGGCTACCCTCTCTTGGTTGAAGCGGACGATGTAGGCAGGCAGGGGATTGGCCCAGAATTGGAGTGCCTTATAGCGGTCGTCTGATGTTTTCCCTAAGATTTGGCTGCTAGCGAACTGTTTATGAACGTGTATGTGAGAGTTGCGAAGAACTGTATAGGTCTGTTGGGTAAACTGATGTACCACTGCAGGGAAGGCCCCGTTAGGGTCAAACCGAATCCCTTGCACATGGCAGCTTCCCTCAGCTTCTTTTGGATTGCTACAGTGAGCATAGGTTGTTTGTGCTGAGTGACGTGGTTATCTAGATCACCGGTACCATCGTACATCTTTATGTTGGGGAAGGAGAACTTTTGAGGCATCTCTACCAAGGCGATTTTCTCGGCAAGGGGTGTGTCGGCGTAGGAGTTGGGATCGCTCCTTCTAATAAGAACAGCCAAGCATGGGAGCCTTTCGACCATTGACTCAATAGTGTCGAAAATCTTGGAGAACACCTTCTCAACATTGGCAACTACGGTGGAACTTGAGGCTTTTGCTGCTTCATCTCCGTCTTCCATCTTGGAATCACTATCTTCGATTTCGTGGACTCGAGTCCTGTTGATGACCGCTTCTCCGTTGCCCTAAGGTTGGGGTTGTCGTTCTCTGTTCGCATCACCCGCGGGGGTTTTAAGTGATTGCATGGGGTGGACATGTGCTCGAAACCGACGATGCTTGCCCCCAACACCATGCAGAGTCTGGTTCTCGCCTCTGAGGATGAGGTTCTCTGCTTTGAGCTCTGATAACTTCTCGGCGCTCAACTCCAGCTGCTTGGAGTGCTCATCAAGTTTCTCCTTCAAACCTTGAACCTTCGAAAGGAGTTCAAGGTTTTCCTCGGTTGCTTCTCGATCTTGATGGAGCTCGGTAATCTGGCTTTGGAGAGTATCGAGTCGGTATTGCAACTCGATCTTCTTCTGAGTAGCTTGCAGTAGCTCGTCGATCTCTTCTATTGCCATCGTCATGTAGTTTGGATTACTCCCCTCCTTCTAGAGCCAAACGTTTTAGGTATTTTTTGGTGAGGGTCCTTTTGAGTACTACGAAAAAATATAGGAGGCGATAAGCAAGAAGATTTGAGAGAGATAATGAGAAAAAAATGTTTTATTGTCTAGGCCGGAACTACATAGATTGGTGTATAAACCCTAGTTCTAGCGGTCTAGCCCTAATCTCTAATTCTTCGAGAGTCAATCCCTTATTCTAGGGTATGAGTTCCCCTTATACAGTAGAGTAGTTGTCGGCTAGATTAGGTTAAACTCTTCCATATTCAGAATTATGGAAGAATACCCTTTAGTATAAAACTTCCATTTTGTGTAGGGATTGGTCGTGGAAGCAGGCGCTGGGACCTTCCAAGGGCCGGGGCCTTGATCCCTCTCGGAAGGGGCCTGGGTCCTTGTTTGAAGGGATCTTGATTACTCTTGACGAGGACCCGAAGGCTGGTGTTCTGCTCAAGACTTGGGGAAATACCATGCCTGAATATTTTTCCCCAACATTCACCAAGCCAAATGATTGAGATCATGTGCTCGTTTGTGAGAATTCACCTTGTGTGTGTGAGTGTGAATCAATGTGAGAGTTTGCTGAAAGAATTTGTTGGTTGATGAGTATTGCAACTTGTGTATAGGAATAAGAGTATTGATAGGCCTAGAGAAGCTAAAGTATAATAAAAGAGTGTTCTTATGCTATTTGCTATGTTTCTTTAGGATGTCAAGTTGAGTTTGACGAAATGTTTCTTTTGTCTATGAGCTCCCACCTTCAAACTTCTCCTCATATGAGTTCTTGAAATTTCACTTAAAGACAAGTAAAGAACAAGTTTTGGGGAGTTGATGTCTTGCATATTTACATATTTTGAATCATCCATTCTTGTATATTTTGATCATATAGATTAGGTCTTAGTCATCTTTAGGTTGGATTTTGCATACATGAGTCTATGTTAGGTGCTAGAGCATACTATGGAGTTCATGGAGGTGTTTGAGATCCTTTGTGATCAAAAAGGGATGAAGAATGAAGACTTCTTGGATCTGGGCGAGCCACGCGGGGTCAGCCCATCGAGTTCCTTACCCGAGTGATTCATGAAAGCTGGGACAAGGCCTACGCGGGGTGTGTTCACCCGGGGTCATCCACCCGCTCAGCTGGAAGGAGAACCAATGACGAAGAGGCCACGTGGGGTGGTTCACGTGGGGTCGATGTCTGATTTTCCACCCCGGGCCGTGTTTTCTTGTTGTCAATTTTAAGTGATTTTCAAGGGAATTTTAGTCTTTTTATTATAAACCATTAGGTTTTCTAAGTTGAGTAAAAATACCTTGTGATTCCAAAGTTGGGACTTATCCTT